GTGCCCCAGTCCAGGAAGATCCCACATGCCGCGGAGCGGCTGGGCCTGTGAGTCATGGCCGCTGGGCCTGCGCGTCCGGAGCCTGTGTCCGCAACGGGAGAGGACACAACAGTTAGAGGCCCATAAAAAAAAAAAAAAAAAAAAAAAAAAAAAAAGAGTACTCTCTAGTAAATAAATGGAAAAAAATTCATCTTGCTCTTGAACATTAAAGGTATTCTTAGCAATTACAAAAACATAGAGGGAATTCCCTGGCACTCCAGTGGTTGGGACTCAGTGCTTTCACTGTCATGGCCCGGGGTTCAATCCCTGGTTGGGGAACTAAGATCCTGCAAGCTGCGAGGCGTGACCAAAAAAAAACAAAACAAAAAGGTAGAAAGTCCATATATCACATTATCCCAACTACATATAATAATCTTGAAAGGAACGTGAACAGAGTTAGAAAAGTGCTGAACTACTTGAAAAATTTGAAGTGCTCCCTTAAAGAAGTTCTAAGTTGGGGATGAATTCCTGCATATAATAACAAAAAACATTTTTTTCAACAAAAATAAAGCTCACCATCATAAAAATTGTTATAAATATATTTTGACAGTATCTAAGTTCTGTGTAACGAGTAGACAGTTTATAGACAAGGAAAAAACATATAAAATCACACGAATGAGTGCACATCTTTTATGACTTAATGAAATGCAAATTAACATTTGTTAGGGTTTCGTTATATACCTGTTAAACTAAAAAAATAAAATAAAATAAAATAAAATGAGAAAACCCAACGTTCATAGGTTTTTGCAGCACTAGGCTCAGTGCTGGAGAGATGGAAAAGAAAAATAATCATCCCTGACCTCATGGAACCCAGTAATACTGAAATGGCTGTGGCAATGGTGGCACAGTAATGGTGGAGTGCTTTTAAACAGAGTCATAAGGTGTTTAAAGAACCCCTGAGAGTCAGTTACTGTAAATGATTAGTTTGTTAGTACAAGGGCTAACAGAGAAATGTGTAACTAGAATATAAGTGGTGTTTTGTCTCAGTCACCATGGTATCCCCAATACCTCGCAACCAGTGCCTCTCACAGAACAGGTCCTCAATAAATATTTGTTAAATGAATGAAATGTGCATTTGGAATTACAGCAAAAAATTAAAACACAATTCTTGTATTATATACTCTGTACATATGATATGCAAAGATTTCTATGTTCATTTTAAAAGCTCAAAAGGATTTTGCAGTGATATAAGTATAGTGTGTTTCCCTTCTCTGTCAAGATACTTAGCTTCATAATTTCTATGCATTTTAATTGAAGTATAGTTAATTTACAATGTTGTGTTAGTTTCAAGTGTACAGCAAAGTGATTCGGTTATACAAATATATATATATATGCATGTGTATATATATACTTTTTCAGATTCTTTTCCATTATAGGTTATTATAAGATATTGAGTATAGTTCCCTGTGCTAGTGCTATACAGTAGGTCCTTGTTGTTTACCTATTTTATGTATATTAGTGTGTACATGTTAATTCCAAACTCCTGATTTATCTCCCCCCCCATAATTTTTTAATTAAAAACATTATTCACACATACCCATTCCACCACCCATATGTTCCTGCCCTGTGTGTGCCATATATTCCAATCTGTTTTGGAACCTTATGGGTCTAGATTTATGAATCTAGATTACTTGTTCTCAGCCCTGGTTGACATTAGAATCACCTGGAGCTTTAAGCCCTCCCTATGCCTGGCTGCACCCTCTTGACAAGCCCACTAACTCATCTGAGGGTGATGCCCAGGCATTGCTGATTCCTACGTTCAGCCAGGACAAAGGCCACTTAGGCAGCAAAACTTTATATTTTCATTAAGTAAAGTGCGTTCAGTCTTTCTCAGAAATAACCCTTTAAGCTGTCTTCATGGAATCCTGAGTTCAAAAATAGCCTTCTAGTATTGTTAAGAAAAAGTACCTAAACTGGGTGTGCTATAGTGACAAATGCAAGCACGAGGCCGACATCCCTTTGTTCCACCCCCCACCCCAAATTCTAATATGCAGGGCAAAGAGACTAGGTGAGCCTTGATAGCTTCTGACCTTCTAGTAAGAGAGGGTTATTGGAGGTTGACTTATCAGGCTACATTCACCTTGAAGGGAGACAAGTCAGATGGGCTAGAAGTTCTGCTAGAAGTTCTCACAGAGGCCAGAGTGAGACACCAACGAGGAGGAAGAAAGACCTGGGTGGGGGATACACCCTGATAATTGACCTCAAGCCTGTTCAGTCCAGGTGATAAAAAGGAGCCTGAAGGTAGAGGTCTGGGATTGCTGTTCATTTTTGAAGAGGCAAAGGAATCTGGCCACCCAGATTCTAGGCTGTGCATCTCTTGTCAGTGGGTGGAACTCCACATGTGTGAGCTGTGCTTTGATCCTGGGGTCTGGGGAAGATTCTCTGGGACTGAGGAAGACAATGGCACCCACTCAACATGTTCCCTGAGCTCTGTGCTACCCCCAAATCATTTCCCAGCACCTGACTCTCTGCTCCTGGGCTTGTATCTCCAGGACTGGGTTTAGGTCTGCTTGCTTTCCCTCTCCACCTCTCCTACCTGTCCAAAGTCTGGCAGGGTTCATGGGTCTGACTTGGAGCTTGGCAGGAGTTCCCTGTAAACTGAGAACTGCAGGGGTCATGTGTTGCCTTGAAACCAAGGTAGGACTTGGGATTAAAAGGCCTCCACTGGGGCCAGTGACAGACCAGCGCTTAAAGAGCTGATTGGTAACTCTCTCCTTTCCCCTCCTCCAGGCTGCCCATTCTCCAGGGAGGAACATTTGCTTTTCTGGCACCCTCCCTGGCCATGCTGTCCCTTCCCACCTGGAAGTGCCCCATGTGGACACTCAATGCCAGCCTGGTGAACACCAGCTCCCCTGAATTCACTGAAGAATGGCAGAAGAGGATCCGAGAGGTATTGGGGTGAGGGGGATGGGGTGAGAGGAATGGAGTGGTCCTCAGCAGGAGCTCCTGAGTTGATTCATTTGTTCAACATTCATTGTTCAACTCATTGCTGAGCAAGATTCCAGGCTTTAAGATACTTGGCCCTTGCTTAATTCAGTTTTATCATCCAGGGAAAGAAACTAGTGGCCTTGAAGCAGGCTCTGAAGTTTGGTCATGCTCCAGGTTGGCTTATCTAAACGATAGATAAGGAAGCCAGCACACAGGATTCTTGGCAGAGAGCATAGCCATACCCTCAGGGACAGTAGACCTGCTAGCTTCCAGACCCCAACATCTTCACCTGACCTAGGTGAGGGGTCAAGGACGGACCATGGGTGGGGTCTGTGTGAGAGAGTGAAGGTCACTTGAGATTTCTAGGAAGCCCAACCAGCTTCCTCCCAGCTTGACCTTAAATATGTAGGCCTGGAGTGAGGCTAAGGACCACCTCCTCTGGAGCAGGGGCAGTTACACAAGCACCATATGGTACTGCGTTTCCAATACAATGTAGTTTGCTCAGGCATGAATCCAGCTTTCACTTAATGTCTTCAGCACTAACTCACTAGAACTGGACCAAGGACATTCCTGAACTCAGGGCTATGGACCTAGAGCAGAGTTTGTTCCCTAGATATCCCTAGGAGTTAAGCTAGGAAGCCTTAGCCCAGCCAGGGTCCATCCTGCACACCACCCAGTCCATGTTCAGCATCCTCACAGCCTCATGGCTGCAATAAGGGTCACATCCGCTGTATATGAAAGACAAAGAAAGAGGGAAGACAGAGGAAACATGGTAACAAGATTCCTATTCTTACCCAGATTTGACCAATGAGAAGGAGTAGAATTGACAAAACACTCCAGTGGGGGTGAGGGCTGGGGCGGAAGGACAATGGTGTAAGTCCTAAACTGATTCCAAATACCTGAGAACCAGGAGTGCCGATGTCTGGGGGCAGGAGAAGGTGGATGTCTCAGCTCAAGCAGAGCAAATTAGCTCTTCTGCTTTTTTGGTTATGTGAGGCCCTCAAAGGATTGGATGGCACTCACCCACATTGGGTAGGGCCGTCTGCTTCATTCAGTTCACACCAATTCAAATGCTAACCTCTTCTGGAAACATCCTCACAGACACACCCAGAAAAAATGTTTTGTCAGCTATCTGGGCATCCCTCAGCCCAGTCAAGTTGACACATAAAATTCACCATCACTGTATGTTATGTATGTGTTCAACTTTAGTAAACACTAGCAAATACATTTGCAAAGTGTATGTTCCAATTTACACTCCCACCAGCAGCATGTGTGAGTTCCAGTTACTCCAAATTCTCACCAACATTTTCTCTTTTTCATTTTAGCTGCTCTGGTCAGTGTATGATGGTAAACTTGTATCATTCTTTTATGATGTTATTGAATGATTTAGAGTTAACTGTAAATGTCTGTCCTCATCTTGTAGGTCTATTTGACCACCTGGGGTCATTTTTGCTCCTATGCTTACCACATTAGCTGGTGACTAGAGGTCAATATCCTAATATAGACTTTGTTATTTATCATTATTTCCATGACTTTCATTTCATTGAGTATCATGTAAATGACCTATGAATTAGTCCATGACCCATTTTAAAGTTCAAACGACAGACCGTGTCCTAAATATGCCAGCATCATAGTAGCTTTGGCTACTTTCACAGTGTTCATTCCTCATTGTCCATCCAGTTCAGCACAGTATACTCTGGGTCTAGTTTTATTAGATGTGTTTCAGTTTGGTAGAATCAACTCTGATGCCAGCATCCCGCATCCCAGATTGAAGACGTATCTAGAAATATGGCTAAGAAATCATTTTCTTATTTCCAACATTTTAAATGTAACAGGCAAAAGTAGCATTATTCAATACCATAATTTGGTAACTCCAGTTCTTCCTGCCTCCATCTTTCTTTCTGCCCACTGTGAGCCTTTCTTAACCCATTTCCTTGCTCCTGTTGGAAGAGGAGGTGCTGAGTCCTTCTCTGCTAGCCTTTAAATAGTGGGCAGGAAAAGTAACACTGTTAAACCCTCCTTGTGTGTCCTTCCCCAAGGTACTTTCAGATGATTTAATAAGTATATTGTCACTGTAGCCTCTCCACTGGGTAGGATGCATCCTGAAAAACACCAGACTTTCCAATCTGGCCCATAAATACCATCAGAATTCCAACAAGTCAAATTAAATAGATTCTTATTATTCCTGTCTTAGGGAACACAACCAAATCCCTAGTCCTGGGAAAATAGGGTTTCTTTACCTTCTCATTTCCCAATCTGTCCTTTACAAACTGCTCCACTAGTGACTCATTTTAGTGCCCCACTTGTAACTTGATCTTACACTATCCTACCCTGCAAAGCCTGCCCTTCGTGCCTTTGTCACCCACATTTTGTTGCTTCAAGCACACGTTCTAATTTTGCAATAATTTCACTGCTTTTGGAAAGTGACATGAAATATGAAAAGATCACTTGATACTGTATTTCTTGGTCCATTCCTGTCTTGTTCATGCTGTGAAAAGTGATCCTTGAGCTGTTTGATACGTAAGTTGATCTTCATGCTGGTGGGCAATCTGGGTTGCTAGTCTCTTTATTGTAGCCTGGGCCAGGGCTTCAGTGGCAGGATAGGCAAAGCTCAAACCAGAAACACTGTCCATACCAGTTTAAAAAAGTGTTAAAACCTCCCATGCTCTGTGGACTGTCCAGTACAGGCAGCCTGTCAGTGCTGTGATGGACCATTTATCCTCATATTCTCCCACCAGAGGCACCTGTGCCCAGCGCTGTTGGCAATCTGGAGCATCCTGGGCAACGCAGGTGACTTCAGAGAGAGATGGAGATTATGTAGTTTGTGAGCCCGCATATGTATGGCTTGTGGCCCGAGGTGTCATCTTGTGGGCCCTAATGACTACATTCAAAATCATACTTCCCTCCTCTTTTTAAGACATAGGGGCATCTACGTGAACCACCAGTATTTGAGATTTGACTATAAAGTCCTGTCCCATAAAAGGTGAAATTTCAGTAGAGCCTCTGTGATCCACTTGCCAGACCAAACTGCTAGTCCACTGGCCACAGCCCAAGAACCTATATAATTCTAAAGGGATGACTCTGGGGGTTTATGTGTGTACTGTCAGTCGCATCACACACAGCTTGGTCCTTTGGCTCGACTTAGACTTGCCTTCCTTCCTCCATCAAGGTCCTTCTGTTGCAATGTTACACTCTTTCAGTCTCAGTCTTTCTCAGGTGGGTGAGCAGCACCTTTAGCAAGACTCCAAGCAGTGCTTTTTTTTTTTTTTTTTTTTTTTTTTTTGTGTTTTGTTTTTTTAATTTATTTATTTTATTTTTGGCTGTGCTGGGTATTTGTTGCTGCACATGGGCTTTTCTCTAGTTTAGGCGAGCGTGGGCTACTCTTCGTTGCAGTGCACGGACTCTAGGCGTGAGGGCTCAGTAGTTGTGGCCCGCAGGCTCTAGAGTGCAGGCTTAGTAGTTGTAGCGCACGGGCTTAGCTGTTCTGCGGCATGTGGGATCTGCCCCCAGGGAAGCCCAGCAGTTCTTTTTTTAAAAAAAAAAAAAAAAAAAAAAAAAAATTTATTTATTTATTTATTTATTTCAGGCTGCATTGGGTCTTCGTTGCTACAGGCAGGCTTTCTCTGGTTGCGGTGAGCAGGGGCTACTCTTCGTTGTGGTGTGCAGACTTCTCATTGCCATGACTTCTCTTGTTGTGGAGCACAGGCTCTAGGCGTGCGGGCTTCAGTAGTTTGGCATGTGGGCTCAATAGTTACGGCTCATGGGCTCTAGAACGCAGGCTTAGTAGTTGTGGCACACGGGCTTAGTTGCTCCGCGGCACGTGGGATCTTCCCAGACCAGGGCTTGAACCCGTGTCCCCTGCATTGGCAGGCGGATTCTTAACCACTGTGCCGCCAGGGAAGTCCCCCCAAGCAGTGCTTTTTGAATTCAAAGACCCACATAGTGGGATCCAAGTCTCTGTTGTTAGAGATAGATTATCTCGTGAGGTAGTGTCCACCCAGGGGAGGGGGACTGTCACTTACTCGTGGATCCTATGAACCCCTCCTTGTGTAACTGCCTTTTCTTTTCCTGAATATAACGATTTCCCTTTAATTAGCACAGTCTGTTGATGATCCCCTTCCTTATTTGAATGTCTTTCTGACATCACTCGAGGTACCATTGGGATCTCTGATCTTGGAGTTATTTGGTGCCATTCAGTAGTGCTCTAATTCCAAATAGTGCCCAGTAGCAGACGAGTTAGGAATGGTCCTTCAGAGGGAGAGTAGTTGAGTAGCTGCTCTGGGCCGCCTCCACACCAAATGCCCCACGCAGAGCTGAAGCACCAGGCATCTGCCAGGGTCAGTCCTCATTCAGCATGGACAGAACCACTGATGCTTCTCATATCTCAGGAGCACTGTGCTGGTCAGGACACCAGTCTGAGACCAGTCTGAGCCATAACTTGTGAATTTCAGCCAGAACCTTCTGCTGTTCTTCCCTTTCAAAAACAGCCTTTCTGCATGTGGCCATGCTCTGGTATACAGTCCAACAGTGCACCCAGAAGTGGATGTGCTTCAATGATCTATCAAGTTCTTGTGCTTCCTTTTATTCTCAAGGTGGGCCCAGAGTTAACAGAGGTTTTTAATGTTTAAAGAACTTTTCCATGTAGTTCCAGACCAAGATATATCTAAGGATTTCATTTGTCAAGCTGGTGGGCCCTGAATTTTTGCCAGGTCCGTTGGCCAGTCTTCAAATGGTGTGTGTTGTACCACCTTTTCCAAAGCAGGATGTATTTCTTCTTCAGTGCATCCTAGTTTTATTATATCATCGATAGCATGAATCACAAAATACATGTGGTCTGAGGTTTTGGGGGGTTTTGTTTCTGCTGTCCCCCAGGGAGCCAGTACTTGGCTTTCATAAATCCAAATTAAAACTAAGCAAAGAATAAGAAGTGGATTTTGTCAACGAAAATTTAATTAACTGTCAAGTTAAGAAGAAAAAAATGGAATTTTATTCGAGCCAAGCTGAGGATTATAAACCCAGGAAGCAGATTCTCAAGAAGCTCTGGGAACTCTTCCACCTGTTAGAAGTTGAAGGCACAGTCATATACATTTTTGAGACAAAGGATCGAACATCAAAATGACATACTGATATTTTACATAAAGTTCACCAAGGATACATTGTCCAGATAAGCAGGTACAAAGCGAGCAGCCAGTCACCGTGACCCCCTACAGGGCTGGGAGAGAAGGCTATTCTTTTAAGAAATTACATTGCTAGCATCAGAAGAAAGAAAAACAGTTGATCTTTAACGGTTGAGCAGGCCCCTCATCTTTCAGGAGCTCTGGTTAATGTGTAATGCAGGTTCACACTGCACATTAGGGAGGGAGGAGGCCCAAACAATCACACAGAGAGAACTTTATGTTTAATTTTTTTACTTGTCCTGCCTTAAAATATAAGTTTTATTTCATCAGTTTCCTTACCCTGCTCTGCTAGATGCCAGGGGCAGGATTTCCCTTCCACTTAGACCCACTGAGAACTATAATTTTTTGTGCAAGAATCTCTTGCCTTCGTGCTATCCAAGAGGAAAGATCTGACAAGTTAATTTGTCTCTTCTCCTACCTAAGCACTCTGCTGCTCGAATTCTTCTTGTGTTCTAATGACCTGTCTGCCTCAACACTGCAATGGTCTGAAGCAGTTACTTTGTGTTTTGAGGACACAGTGTTTAGTAGTGAGAGAGGATGTTTAGGGATGTTTAGGTCATGCTGTGCCTGCACTGAGCACAGGATCCCAAATTACAGACACAACCATGTTTTTTAAATACATTTACCATTTATTTTTGTGTTTTTGAGTCCTCTACAGCAGGAGTCAAAGTAAACTATCGCTCTTGGACCAAATCCAGCCTGTAATCTGTTTTTTACTGCCCACCAATTAAGAATGGTTTTTACATTTTAAAAAGTTGTTTAAAATTAAAAAAAGAATATGTGACAGAAACTATATGTGGCCCACAAAACCTAAAATGTTAACTATCTGGCTTTTTACAGAAAAAGTTTGCCAACCCCTGCTCTAAAGCACAGGGCCCAGGGTGGGAGTTCTCTTGCCCAGATCTAAGACTGTAGCCTCCACTATTTTTTTCCCACATCGCCTTCAAGTGTCCAACAGTGAGTACAAACCCAGAGTCTTATTTGTGGTATTTTAGCTCCATCTGCTGGTCCAGTGTATTTCACCAGTGCTGTAAACAAGGGAAAGTTCTTTCAAGTTTCAATCTTCTTTTATTAATTGATGGATTGGTTTAATTCACTGGGCCAACCTGTTGGAATTTAAGGTAGAGTTTCCATGTTTCACTAAGTTAAATTTGTTCACACACATCGCAAGGCATGAGGCCACCGATGGTTAGCAGTCCAACTCTACGTCACAATACTAGCCACAAATGAAAGTGAGGCAAATATAGGACCAATAGGGGTGTCATTACTTTCTGGGAGATAAGAAGTAATAAAGAGGACAAGTAAGTAATGATTATATTTTTAGAAAGTGGTGGTAGCAGAAAATGTAGAAAACTCTGGGAAGAGATGGCAAGCTCAGTTTTCAACACATTAGACCAACTTAAACTTCACCTTCCAGTATTACGGTGGTTTTAAATTTTTTATATCCTTGTGTATGCTTATGTATACGTGAAATGAATGACAGCAATGATAAAAAGGCTAGGTCGGAGAAATTAGGATTGCTTTGTTACTATAAAGTACTCACGCCACTCATGATGTGGTATAGTGTTATTTGAAAGTGAACTTGGGAGAATTCCCGGGTGGTCCAGTGGTTAGGACTGTGCTTTTACTGCCGAGGCCATGGGTTTGATCCCTGGTTGGGGAGCTAAGATCCACAAGCCGTGTGGTGTGACAAGAAAAAAAAAAAAAAGGGACTTGGATTAGCTGTAAATGTACATTGCAAACTCTAAAGGAAAAAAAAATAAAAGGATAATGGTTATGCTAAGAAAGGAGAAGGGAAAAAAAGCTCAGTTAAAACCACAAAAGGAAGAAAAACAGTAGAAGACAAAAACAGAAATGAAGAACAAGGGCAACAAATAGAAAATAGTAATGGTTATGGTGGATATTAATCCAACTATATCAATAATCACTTTGAACGTCATTGGAAAGGCACAGAGATTGTCAGAGTGGATCAAAACACAAGACCCAACTGTATGTTGTCCAGAAGAAACCGGCTTTAAATATAAAGACACATGTAGATTAAAAGTAAATGGATGGAGAAGAATATACCACGTTAACACTGATCAAAGGAAAGCAGGAGTCAGACTTCTTTCTTTTCAGGAAGAGCAGACTTCAAAGCAAGGAAAATTTTCAGGGGTAAAATGAATAACATCCATATTAGCAAAGTAAAAAAGGAGAAGTAAAGTAAAACTCAATCAGTCCAATAGATCAGGGGTTGGCAAACTACAATCCATGAGCCAAACAAACAGAAAACATGGCTAGTTGCCTGTTTTCTGTTTGTTTGTTTGTTTGTTTATAGCCCGCAAGCTAAAAATGGTTTTATATTTTAGTTGAAAAAAATCAAAAGAAGAATAATATTTTGTGACATGTCAAAATTGTATGAAATTCAAGAATAATATTTTATGACATGTCAAAGTTGTACGAAATTCAAGAATAATATTTTATGACATGTCAAAATTGTAGGAAATGCAAATTTCAGTGCCTATCAGTGGAGTTTTATTAGAACACAGTCAAGCTCATTTGTTTCCATCTTGCCTGGAAAAGTTTCAGCTGAGCCTGTACGGCCCACAGAGCCTCAACTATTCACTCTCTGATCCTTTACAGAAAACCTTTGCCAACCTCTGCAATAGAAAGTAGGAAAACAGAGACAAATAAATCAACAAGATGTTCAATACGTAACTGGGTGATGCCAGTATTACGAGTCATCTCATTATCACTGTGATCAATAGATAATCTTGAAATCTACTTCCTGAAAAACTTCACATTAGGTGAAAATGTCCAACAGACAGTTGGAAATAGAGGACTGGAGAGAGGAGTGAGGTCCGAGCTCGCCTTCCCTCAGTTCCTCTGGGGTCCAGCTTTGCCCCTGCACTGCCTCTGAAGGTACCACCAATCTGGGTGGCCCCGCCACAGGCTCCCAGGTGCTGAGCCCCATGCTTCCTCTTCAGCTGCAGGGAGCCATCATGGTTGCTTCCTGTGTCCAGATGCTGGTGGGCTTCTCAGGCCTCATTGGCTTCCTCATGCGCTTCATCGGCCCCTTGACCATTGCTCCGACCATCTCCCTGGTGGCCCTGCCTCTCTTCGATTCTGCGGGCAATGACGCCGGGATCCACTGGGGGATTGCTGCCATGTAAGCACCCTCTGGGAAAGGTGGGCCATCTTTGGAGGAAGATTACCCAGTAAGAAGAGTGAGTCCTGGGTATTGGCAAACTCTGGTGGTTTACAAATACTTTCACAAACATCACGATACCTTAAGAGCAGTGAAATGGCTACTTAGAATGTATTATTACTATTTCTTATGTTATTAGTCCTCACAGACAATAAGTTCATCACAGGCAGGGTATAAACATACTTAGCGTAGGGTTCACAGACAGCTGATGCTCCCCGTCCCCTGCCTCCTAGGTTTTCACTGAGCAAATATTTGTAAACCTCCAGCACCTGGGAAGAGTGCAAAGACATGGCCCCAGCTCTCAAGCATTTTGTAGCATAGTAGAGGGATAAGACTTGTGTCCAAGTGCCTGTGACACCAAGAGACAGTGATGAGAGTCACAGTGTGCCGGCTGGTTCAGGGGATGGGGTGGTGACAGCCAGCTTGCCAGGGGTGGGGGGTGGTGTCAGGAAGGCTTCCCAGAAAAAGAGCATTTAAACAGAGCTTTGAAGGGACTTGGGGATGACCCTGGACGCGCTCATTCACTCTGTCTGTTGTGGTCTGACCACAAGGACCTGCAGGACCACCTGGGAGAGAAGGTGGTCTGACTGTGGCCTCACTGGCTTCAGTCTGGATCTGTGCAGCTGCAATGCTTATTTCTCAGGCCCCTGCCCACTGTTCCTCTTCAGCCACCAGCAGCCTCTGAAAGGGGCCTAACCACCTTTTCAGAACTGGCAGCATGCTGCCTACGTTGCAGAGCAGGGCCTAGATGGGGACCCTCCCAGCACAGCCACTGCCCCATAGTCCCAGAGACACGTGATGGCACGCCTTCCCGGACCCTCGCTCGTGATGAGCCCAAGTTCACCAGGCTGGGTGTGGTTTGTTTCTGTTTCAGGACCATCTTCCTCATCGTGCTGTTTTCTCAGTACCTGAAAAACATCGCAGTGCCTGTGCCTGTTTACGGAAGAGAGAAGTGTCACACCTCTAAGTTCTACCTGTTTCAGGTCTTCCCTGTAAGAAGCGCTCCCCACCCTCTGCCATTCTTAGTTGACTCACCTGGAGAGTGAGGGACAGCTTGTTGCTCTCCCAGATGGCCCCCAAGTCAAATGCTCTCCACCTGCAGTGGCCTCTCCTCAGCCTCCCTTAATTGCCCCGTGGGTGGTGGGAGCCTTGGTGTAATGCCGTCCCAGATCTTCCCTCATTGCTTCTCTCTCAGGAGTAGAGAACTCGCCCCAGGTTGCTGCCCTGGGCACCGCTGTGGGACAGTCTTCTCGTGTCCCTGGGCCGTCCTCATAGCATGGCACTGGGGGAGACAGCCAGGCTCACCGCTAAAGGTGCAAAACTAAGGGCCAAGTTGCTTAGATCAGGTTCTTTCTCATTGGCTCCTGGATAATTCAGATCCTGCTGACGATGATGGTGTCTCCTTTTTCAGAGCCTTCTCTGTCGAATTTGCTCCACTCTGTCAAGTAGGTGCCATTGCCAAGCACACAAATGTGTTTTCAGGTTCAATTTATCTGTGAAATACATTCTGCATTAAAAAAGATACTTCCACATAATGATCTCATTGATCCCTCAGCAAACCTGTAGGCCAGTGGTTCAAAAGTTCGGTATGCATAAGAATCACCTGGGGACATTGCTAAAAGTGCCGATGTCAGGGGTTCTACCATCAGAGATTAAAAGTCAATATATCTGAGGACCTCACTTTAAGAAATCCTGCCTCAGGCTCTGCAGAGCAATGGTTGTAATCCCATTGTACAGATGAGGACACTGAGGCTCAGGGAATTTGATCCAGGGTCATGTGACCAGCAAGCAATAGAAAGGGAGTCAGACTGCAATCCTTCTGACCCAGGCTGTGTCCACTTTCCTAGACATTTCTGCCTCTACTTGACACAAGGTCTCCCCACAGTTTAGTTTCTCTATTCCTATAATGTGTTCATTATCCACTGACACAGCAGATTCCTGTTGTCACTGGAAGGGTTTGTAGCCCAACACTTCCTCATCTCAAAGAGCTTTCTCGACTCCCTCCTTCGCACACCCTCTCTGGGAGGTGTGGGCAGGTGCAGGGGTGGGGCCCAGTATGAAGGGCGCCTCCCTCCATCCGGCAGGTGTTGCTGGCGCTCTGCATCTCGTGGCTGCTCTGCTTTGTGCTCACAGTCACCAACGCCCTCCCCTCGGCACCTGCAGCCTACGGGTATCTGGCCCGCACAGACACCAAAGGCGACGTCCTGAGCCAGGCTCCTTGGTTTCGCTTCCCTTACCCAGGTAACGAGGCGCCGATGCCGGGGCCCATCTTGCCTGGGGCATATGCTTCCCAGGACTGCCCGTGAGGCTCAGGCACCAGAGGGGGAAATGAGTAGGGACAGGATCTCCTCCAAGCGATCTGGCAAGGAGGGACAGGCCCCACAGAGTCCATATGAGACCCCTAAGAGAGGAAGGAGACCCTTGGGTGGTCCTAAGAACGCTTTGGGGGTGGTAGACCAACAGTTCCCTCTCCCAGACCTACCTCCTTCCTGGCCCGCATGCCTCATCCCCTCCTCCACATTGCTCAGGCCCCATCGACTATGGGTGGGGAAAGCACAGAGGGATCCTGACCTCTTAGCCAACCTTTGGGTCCCACACAAGGGAGGCTTGGGACTGAATTAGAACATTTCTGGGTTGCTGGTCAAGGGCAACTCCTTTCCCTGCAGTTCTTGGCTCAGGGTGTGAGAATAACCACATTCCAGTTGGGGGGCTGAGGAGGTCCTAGCCTCATAGACTGCGGAGCCAGGACCTCCCTGAGTAAGAATCCTGGAAGCCTTCAAAAGGCTTCAAGGTCTTCCTGGAAAGAGGCCCGGTTTCTGGTTCTTTTGTGCACTGTGACCTCAAGGTCAGAGCCTCTGACCTACCCTCAGGGAGGCACGGGAGGGCAGGAGTCCGAGACTAAGCTTCAGGACAGCTGTTGGGTTGGAAGACATGTTTCCTGGTCTTTAAAGCCTTCCGGAGAACCCTCTGGCAAGGGAATTATTTGGGGGTCCAGCAGCCTGTTATCTTCCGGATGAATATTCCCTCTGCACTGCAATTTCAGGGCAGTGGGGCCTCCCCACCATCAGCCTGGCTGGGGTCTTTGGGATCGTCGCGGGGGTGATCTCCTCAATGGTGGAGTCAGTAGGCGATTATTATGCCTGTGCCCGCCTTGTGGGGGCACCACCCCCTCCGAAGCACGCCATCAACCGAGGCATCGGCATCGAGGGCCTGGGCTGCCTGCTGGCAGGGGCCTGGGGTACGGGGAACGGCACCACCTCCTACAGCGAGAATGTCGGCGCTCTGGGCATCACCAGGGTAAGGCTGCTGACAGTGGCCCCGGGGGTGGGGTGGTGGGTGGGCAGCCTGGGTACCTGAATCTGTCATCAGTGTCCTAGCCTCTTATTGTTGCTGCAACAAATTATCACAAACTTGATGGCTTCCGACAACCCAGATGTATTATTTTACTGATCTGGAAGTCAGAACTCCAGTACGGGTCTCACAGGGCTACAGTAAAGGGATTGGCAGGGCCGTGTTCCTTTCTGGAGGTTACAGGGGAGAATCCATTTCCTTGCTTTTTCCATCATCTAGAGGCTGCCCACATTCCTTGGCTATGGCCCCTTTCCTCCATCTTTAAAGCCAGCAACATGGAGTCTCTCTGACCTTTTTTCCTTAGTCACATCTCCCTTTGACCACAGCTGGGAAAGATTACCTGCTCATTAGGATGCATGTAATTAGGGTGGGCCCACCTGGATAACTCAGGCTACTCCGTCCATCTCAAAATCCTTAATCGCATTGCAAAGTCCTTTTGCCACTAAGGTAACGTATTCACAGGTTTGGGCATGGACATCTTTGAGGAGCCTTTATTTTGCTTACTACACTTGACCTTCTTGGTTGTGGTCACCTCCACCTGAATGTCCCAAGGGTACCTCACACTCAGAATGGCCTCTATTATGTTCAGTCCATGCCCCCATCCGTACTTCTCCTCCCGTAAACCTTGTCTTCGTGAATTCACCCAGTCATCCTTAACTTCTCTCTGTTGTGTGCTTCTCACAGTGGATTCTCTTTTCTCAGCATGTGTGCTGCCCTCCTGTCCTCTTGTCTCCATTCCCAGTATCACAGCTTTATCATCTCCCACCTGGACATGGCAGTATCCCTTGTCTCTTCCCAGGATCTTGCCCATCTCTAATCTAGCTACCACATGGCTGCCCAAGAGTCTTTCTAGAACCCAATTAAATTAGTCCCTGCTTAAAATCTCTTCCAGGCTCCCATTTTCCACAGGAAAGCCTCATAAGGTCAGCAAGAATTCTTCAAGATGGTGCTTTCTTCTTCTTATTATTATTTTTGTGCTGCATTGGGTCTTTGTTGCTGCGCGTGGGCTTTCTCTAGTTGCGGGGGCTACTTTTCGTTGCGGTGCGCGGGCTTCTCATTGCGGTGGCTTCTCCTTGCAGAGCACGGGCTCTAGGCACGCAGGCTTCAGTAGTTGTGGCTCACGGGCTCTAGGGCGCAGGCTCAGTAGTTGTGGCGCATGGGCTTAGTTGCTCCGTGGCATGTGGGATCTTCCCAGACCAGGGATGGAACTCATGTCCCCTGCATTGGCAGGTGGATTCTTAACCACGGAGCCACCAGGGAAGTCCCCAAGATGGTGCTTTTTTTTTTTTTTTCTTGCGTTATGCGGGCCTCTCACTGCTGTGGCCTCTCCCATTTGCGGAGCACAGGCTCCGGACGCGCAGGCCCAGCGGCCACGGCTCACGGGCCCAGCCGCTCCGCGGCACGTGGGATCCTCCCGAAACGGGGCACGAACCCGCGTCCCCTGCAACGGCAGGCGGACTCTCAAGCACTGCGCCACCAGGGAAGCCCCAAGATGGTGCTTTTTAAGGTGACTTAGAAAAGAATATTATTACGATGTTGCTTTCCTGTATGCTTCAGTGCATAGGTACAGTGTTTCCCAGCACAAGTGAAGTGAGCTTTGGAAAGTATTCACTTTCCTCCACCCACATCCCCACCCTGTATTTTCTGATACCTCCCTTGGACCTATCTACCTCTGTACCCTGCATGGCCTCTGGCCCATAGTGAGAGCTAAAATCTGTGAGCAAACAGCAGAGCCAGCACCCAACCCTACGGCAAGTTCTATGTGCTTGGACACTGTGGACTCTTAGACATTTCCCCAAAGTTTCAAGACCTTCGGTGCAAGTGAGAGGAACATTTTTCCACGTGAGGGCCACAGACCCACACAGAAATGTGGGAATGGGCTATGTAAGTATAAAGCAGCAAATATTTTTCTTGCTGAAGGGAAGATATCTCACGCAGAACAGAAAATTATATTCAATAAACAACAAAAAAATTTTTGATGTATCATTTCTAAATTAAGACCCT